GGAAGCGCGAAAGCGCGTTCTCGACCGCAAGCATTTCCAGACAGTTTATGTGTAAGGGGCTTTCCTGTGTCGACCAATGGCCGAAGGCCGGTGAGCCCTCGCAGACTGCACCCCAACCCGTGTTGGATGCATCTGTCGAGATGACTTTTCGGCGAGAAAAGGTCCCCATCGTGACGCCCTGTCGAAACCATTCTGCTACTGTCCATGGCTGCAGCGCCGTGAGACATGTCTGCGTAACTCTGATCAGCTGGCGGCCCGTGTTCCACGCGCGGTGGGGTACACGGCTGTTTAACCAAAGCTGAAGCGGACGCATGTGCAGAAGGCCCAGCTGAAGCACAGCGGAGGCTGAGGCCATGTAACCCAGCATCCTCTGAAAAGTTTTCAGAGGTGAGCGGGTGCCCATCTGAAACGAGGCGGCCAGTCGCTGTACACTGCGCGCGCGCTGTGTAGACAGGCGAGCCGTCATCGTGACCGAGTTCAAATCTATTCCTAGAAAGGAAATCGATTGACTGGGTTGAAGGGAGCTCTTTGTCCAGTTGACAGAGAGGCCCAGCGTTTTCAGATGGTCGAGGAGAACTGCGCGGTGCGACAGAAGCTCCGTCTGTGATTGGGCCAAAATCAGCCAGTCGTCCAGATAATTCAATATGCGCAGCCCCTGGCTCCGCAGGGGGGCGAGCGCCGTATCCATGCACTTCGTAAATGTGCGGGGCGCCAGAGATAAGCCGAACGGGAGAACGGCGTATTGATAAACATGACCCTCGAAGGCGAAACGTAAGAATGGCCTGTGACGGGGATTTATCTGGATCTGAAAATAGGCGTCTTTCAGGTCTAGAGAGATGAACCAGTCCCCCTGGCGCACCTGCGCGAGGAGTTTCCTGGTAGTGAGCATCTTGAACGGTCTCTTCATGAGCACTTTGTTCAAAGACCTGAGATCTAAAATCGGTCTGAGGCCGCCGTCTTTCTTGGGAACCAGAAAATAACGGCCGTAAAACCCCGACTCGGTCATAGATGGTGGGACTCTCTCTATGGCGCCCTTTTGCAACAGCGTCGCAATTTCTGAGCGGAGCGTGCCGGCGGCCAGCGGGCTGACAGTAGATTCGAGCCGCGAGCGCGCACGAGGCGGGCGGCGGCGAAACTGTAGCAGATAGCCGTCCTTTATAATGCTTAGCACCCACGGGGAAATGCCTGGAATGGCTTCCCACGCTTTGGAGCATGCGGCTAGTGGCCGAATGGCTATATCACCCTGATTGCTGCACATAGCGGGCTGGACACAGTGTGTGGGCGCGCTTTGAATGTGTGTGGCAACGGGATTTGCACTCAGAGAGGAGTCTATGGGCCGTGAAACAGAGCGAGCAGAGAGGGGACACGCGCACGAGCTCGTGGGCGTGTTTATGTTCTCTGATATTAGAGCGGGCTGTGCCCGTTTCATGTGATGGGGCTCTGATAGAGACACGGGGTATGTTATGCTTGTGTGTATGGGTGAGCACATGATTGTGGGCACATTTTCTACACAACTGGCAAATTTTCTCTTTTTGAGATTTCTCTGGGTAGCCGTAAAAACGGCTTTTTGTCGCTCGCAAGTGGGCTGGGACACCGGCTTGTTTGTGGCGGTCAACACTACAGCAGTCGGCGAAATAACGGGGACTGACAGAGGGCGAAGCTTTGACGGCGGTCCGGCCGCAGCGGGAGAGCACCGTCGTTTTCTTGACTTTGCTAGGCAGACTTCTGATGATCAGGCTTCAGCGTGATCTTAGGTCGCGGGCCTCGTGGGGGCGGCGGTCTGCGGCGGCTGTCAGAGCGAGAGCGAGGGCGGCCGCCCTGTCTGCGCTGGGCTGTTTGAGTCTGCGGAGGGGGGCGCTGTGGTGGAGCTCTGGCAGGAGGCTCGCGAGAGCGGCCCGCGGAAGAGCTAGCGCGGCGGGGCAGAAACAAATTCATCGCCTGAGTAGCTTTCTGGACCTCAGAAAAGCGATCGACGATTCCCGTGACAGCAGATCCAAAAAGGCCCGTCGGGGAGAGGGGCGCGTTAAGAAACGCGGCGCGCTCAGAATCTCCCATGTCGGCGAGCGTGAGCCATAAGTGTCTCTCGGCAACACAAAGGCTGGCCATGCATCTCCCCAGAGCTTGTGCGGCGGCTTTAGTGGCGCGAAGGGCGAGGTCCGTAGCACTTCTCAGATCCGTGACAGCGGGGGAGGGGTTTCTACCGCCTTCGGCCCACTCACGGAGAATATCGCTCTGTAATACTTGGAGGACAGACATCGAATGTAGCGCTGCGGCGGCCTGACCGGCGGCGGCGTAGGCGCGAGCATGAAAGCTCGAGGTCGCTCTGCAAGCTTTCGAAGGAAGCGTGGGGGAAGAGCGCCATCTAGCAGAGGGCGGGCAGAGGTGTGCGGCGACCAAGTCCTCGACGGGCGGCATGGCTGAGTAGCCTTTCTCGGCGGCTCCGTCCACCGAGCGCAGCGAGGCGGATATATCAGAGCGGTTTCTAGCCGAGAGCGGGGCATTCCAGGACTTCGTCAGCTCTGCGTGAAGTTCAGGCAGGAATGGAGCGGCCCGGTTGCACGCGGGGGTCGAGCGCCGATGAAAAAAGCTGCCGTCCATCCGGTTCGGGGCCTGCTCGGGTGGAGGAGACCACTCGAGACCGAGGCGTTCGACGGCCTGTGAGAGGAGGCGCATTAGTTCCTCCTCTATCCCGGCGCGGATCCCCGCCGATTCTCTCGTGGATCCGAGAGATGACCATTCTTCACTGTCAGAAGCGAGCAGTGAACAGGAGTCCTTCTCCTCCGCGGCGTCATCGGAAGCGACAGAGCGGCCACTCGGCGGCAACTGTATGTCCGGCAGGGGCGGGGAGGGAGAGCGGGAAGCGGGAGGCGGCGGCGGCGGCCCGCATGGTTCCGCTGGGGGCTCCGGCGGCCTCTGGGAGCGGCGTTTTTTCTTACGCGGCGAAGAGGTAGGTGGCGCGGGAGCGGATTTTGCTGCCAGAAGTCGTGCCCGCAGGGACGACAACGGCAGGCTCTCACAGAAGTCGCATCCTCCATCCGCGAGGGCGAGTTCTGCGTGCTCGAGTCCCAGGCAGAGAGCGCAGATGACATGGCGGTCTCCGTCCTCGAGACGAGCGCGGCAAGAGCCGCAGGAAAAACGAGACATCTTTACAAGACGCTCGGCTCTTTTAGATATAATAGAGAAGGATACAGTCGTCGGATGGCGCTAGCTTGCAGGGCGGCTGAAGGTGGCGAAGACGGCCGGCTTCTTCAGGGTCCGGGAGCTCGCTAGAGTGATGCCTTCTCGACGGCGACGGCTTTTCTCAGGACAGCAGAAGCGTGCAGCTTGCTGAAGATGAAATGAATCAACATATAAGCCTGGGAGAGACTGTTATATACACCATGGCCACGCCCATTCTGGCGGGCCATGACGCAATGAGCGCGCGGGCGCCTCTCATTGGAAGCGGGTTCAGCCCCGCTCTCCCATAGGCTTAAGCAGTTCTCTCTGAGCGAACCAATGAGCTGCTAGCTAGCCTGCTCTAGGTCTGCCGCAGAGGAACTGCGTTGTGTATGGATACAAATTATGAAATAATTTTTGGCTTCAATATCTCAGCAAAGATGAATCTTTCCCGCAGCGTAAGCTAGCTTACGCAATACGAGAGAACCTCTCGTAAGAGAACTTTATTTATCCCCAAGGGGAAATTTAAGCGTTATGCAGCATACACATATTATATATAATATTATACTTAAGAAGACAAAGACATTTTCATTTCTAGGGAAGCAGTTCTGAGAGGAAAAGTATAGTGGAAATTCCAGATGAACATCTCCATGGAACAGGATTGCATTAGAGGCAAAATATCACACCAAGTAGCATTTGCAAATTGCAATGATGGCTTTTCTAAAAATTAATCTAACTTTCTGGGGTAATATTTAAAAATGAGAAAACATATGTCCAAACATTTATTTTTCATAGTATAATCATTAAAAACGTTCTCTGTTTTAAAGTATTTTACCTTTTAGCTACTTATTTGGCCAGCAAAAATTCACTGAACAATGAACAATCGTAAATATGTCTGCACCTTAACAATTAAAAACACAATTCAGACATTACATTTAAGAGGAATGAGGAACAGGTTTTGGGAGTCTTTCTCACCTCTGAGTCTTTTGTTCTGTTTACAAAGTCAGATCTTACAAAGCTGAAGTGTAAGATAAATTGTTTATTCAATTTCAACTGAATATTATATGGAACAAGTTTGCCATCCATCCTACTTCATCTACCTCTGCAATTCCCTCAAGTCAACACCAGAGGTCAACATCCCCAGCTTTCTAAATCTGACTTCTAAATGGAGCCTTTTTACATTTCCATTGTTCTCAGAAGCAGAAGTCATCATATTGGATAAACTTCTATAGCGGTCAATGGGAGACGACAGCAAATACCATTTTTGTATTCCCATTTGCTTCATTAGTGTAATAAAAAATCCATGATAGCGTTTCTGCGACTTTTTTATAAAAGGGGAAAAATATCGAGAGACTGATGTGGAATTTGCTGTCACTCCCTCAGCCGTTGCTTTGGAAACACCCTCACAGCAGTGTTTTTTTTTTTTTTTTTACTGCCTTGGTAATGTAACACACAGTACAGTGTAATGAATGTGTATTCAATTTTTTTATTTTTATTTTATTATATGTGAAACTTTACTAGATTTGCGATGTTGATAACTGTGGAAACACATAATCAGTCTGTGAAAAGGGTCTCTATCTACCTCTCTTTCCTCACCAGTTGGGTTATTATGTTGGTTTTCCATCAATTTATACTGATATTTAAGGTTATGAATTGTAAAATATTCAAGTAACAAAATGTATGCTGACCTGCTTAGTACTTCTAGATCTAGACCAAACCATCTGTGGCCTGAAAATGAGACCACAAGGATTAACAAGAACAATATTTACTCATCCACAAACTGAAGAAAAAAAAAAAAGACTTGTGGGCAGCTCAATGTCTCCACCCACCCTTATATGTATACAGTGTTTTATCATGAGAGTTTACTGATCGTCTTCTTCATCATGACCATCATCATCATCTCTCTGCTCCTGCTGGCCTCTCTGCTGCCACACCTGACCTTCACTGGTGAGATTGACTGAACTGAACTGCATATTGATTCATCACTAATTCAATGTCAGTATGGACTCTTTTGCTGATGCCTCATGTTCCTTGTCATGACGAATATGTCAACTAACAGCACTATCTCTCTCTCTCTCAGCTCGTGTGAATGTGGGTATAGTGAACGGCACAGAAGCCAGACCCCACTCCAGACCTTACATGGTTTCTCTTCAGAAGAACAGGGAACATATCTGTGGTGGATTCCTCATTTCTAATCAGTTTGTCTTGACTGCTGCACATTGCCAAATTAAGTAAGACTTTTGTTTAGTCTGAACTGCAATAATGATTGATTATTTCTGGAGAATTTTAATATGAAATGACAGTAGTATATAGTTTACATACTTTTGTTATCAAATCAGTATATGCTTTTATAAAAGAATGCATAAAACTGTGAGAAATAATACTACTTTCTTTCAAAAGAAATGAAAAACTGACAGCTGTGGTTGGTGCACATAACCTAAAAAATGAGAATGAGGGTTCAGTCCGCATCGGAGTAAAGTCCTACATCAAGCATCCGGACATTGAGAAGAATGACATTATGCTTTTGCAGGTAAATGTCTACACTTGTTCCAGCTGCAAAAAAAAACAAAAATCAAAACAATAAAATAAAATAAAATATATAAAAATTCTCTTCCAGGGCTCCTGCACTATAACCTCATATTAAAAATGAGAAAAATATAAACTGTGGTTTAATCTAATGAAAGATAAATCTATTTGTTAATGAATGAATGCTTTTTAATTACAGCTAGAGAAAAAAATCACACCAAGCAAACATGTATATTGGATATCATTACTAAAGAAAAAAAACGTCAACAAAAAAGATCCTAATTGTAGTGTTGCGGGCTGGGGACGTCTGGGCATGAACAGTCCAGGGAGTGATCGTCTAATGGAGGCCTATGTGAAGATAATGGATTACGCAACATGTAAAAAAAAATGGAAAAGACAACAGAAAAAATTAGGCTCAAAGATGATGTGTGCATATGGCGACTGTGGATCCTGCGAAGTATGTAATCATTTTCAAGTGAGTTTTAATGTTATATGGCATTTTAGTGACGTGTTGATCTGTGTTTCTTAACAGGGGGATTCAGGAGGTCCTTTGGTTTGTGGAGACACTGCAGTTGGTGTCACATCCTTCGGTGATCCTGAACACTGTAATTCACCCAATAAACCCAATGTGTATACTAAGATTTCACCATATCTTAAATGGATACATAAAAACATGAGAAATGTAAAGTTACTTTATTGAAATTAAAAAAGGAAAAGTTTTTCCTGAATTCTTTTAAAACACAACTTTTATCATTAAAAGTATGGTAAGCATCAATCAGTCTGAGTGTCTTCATTTTCACAACCATTTCATGTGGGGTATAAATCATTTCACATTAGCAAGTTCGACCAGAGGTGGACAAAGTGCATTTACTTGAGTACTGTACTGTAAGGCTTGAAGCTTACACTGCTAGTTTTAACCAATAATCGGAACAAAAGGCAGTTGAAGGATGACGTGTATAATTCAAATATTTATCTGACTCCAATATAACTATTCTGACTCCATTAAAGTTGTTGTTATTCTTTAACCTCTTATTCTTTAAATGTGCTATATGTAACTTTTCTTCTAAAATGATCCCTTTTTTTATTGCCTGTGTGTGAAGGGGTTGTAATCACACATTACAATGACCCACTTGTCGGGTTCTGCTATTACCTCTGAAGGCCAGTATTCCTATTTCTATGTGAAGTCTCCGGGTCGGATTTTCTGCGAAAGCCATCAGATGTGACGGATGTGACGTGCATGCGCGCTCCCGAGCCTCTCTCCTTTTTATATAGTCTATGCGACGGCACTTGCAGCTGACGACATGGAGTCTGATAACACCCAAAAACGACCTGCCGCCCTCCAGCACAACACAGACTCCACATAAATATAAAAAACAAAACAAAAATGTATCTGCTGAAGCTCGTCAGGCCAAACGTGAATCGGATCGACTTAGGACGAAAACACGAATCAGACCGTTTGAATTACGAAGAGACCTCCGCTATTTTTATTGTGATAAATTACAAAATTTTCAGATATGCTGAAATAAATAATGGTAAACTGTAATGAAATAGCAAGGTAAACTACAACATACATGAGACATGAAATGAATACAAACGACTGTTCAGGATAACAAAAAGTAGGTGCTTTAGGATGTAACTTTTATTTCATGTACTAGATCTATTTTCTAATGTTACTCATCCCACTACTATCATATTGTTTATAATACACATTTCCAGACACGTTCAGTACAGTAATGTTACTTCCTACGATCTTACTGTTACACTGAAATTGTTCAGTCTAGTTCACTAACCGTTTTCGTTATCATATACATTCATCTATATGTTGACATTGCTGATTGTGAAAGATACACGAATAGTTAGTGAAATGCCTTATGCTAGATAACACCACGTCGGCTAAATGCAGTCAATGTAACGTTATCATGGTACGAGCATGGAGCATTAGTTCAACGTCAAGCTGATAAAAGTAGCCTATTATTGAAACGTTGCAGTGGGAGTTTACATGAGTTTCCAGCATGTTGTGTGATGCTTTTTCCGGTGTGTTGAAAGTCTCAGTGTGGCCGGTGTACCATGAGTGCTCGCTCTTGTGTTCGAGCACGCGCAAGAGCACGAGCGCTCTTGTAAAAATTGGTTGCAATCTGAAACATCACCGATAGAGGCCACTAAAAAATACACATAGCACCTTTAAAGGTAAAGGTCTTTCTTAGAACTGATAGGAAAACGTAGGATTTAACCTGAATGTTTAGATAATGAAAGTTATAATCACTTTAGCTTTCAACATCATCAGTGATAAATGGAAGGATTCTCAAAGCCTTTAAAGCAGGCAAAGTTATTTACTAAGTTACATGTTTAAATATACAGTAGAATAGCAAAGCATTGTTAATCGAGTGGAATACCAACACTAAACCCGACCGACAGGAAACCCAAAGATGAGGCAAGTGGGTGGTGATCAAGAGGGGGAGTAGAACATTAACATTCTCATCAATGCATGTTTAAGCAATAGTACCTAGATTGTACATTAGGATACTTTAATATCTCTATTAAGTTCACCATTTTTCAGTTCAGTTTATAAGCTGTCAGATGAGACCAAATATGGCATAGTTACATATTAGAACACACAAGTAAATGAACAGTATGTAGTTAAAAGCATAGTCCATGAGCCAGGGCCCCAAATTTGGTCCATTGGTATCATCTAGGGGGAAAAGTCTCATAGTGATTTTTGGCAAGGTATACACCCCTAGTACTAGAAAAATCACGATAGCAGTGCAGGGGTGGTAGCGAAATCACTTTTTTCAGCTCATGAAGTTACTAACCCCCTAAAATAAATTCCGTTTTTGAAATCTGGTGTATATCTGGTTTAGGCTCATGCTAGGGATATTGTCAATATTCTATAATATGGTGCTTGGTATCATTGGAAAGGGGACCTTTTAGGCTTTCATTTAAGCCCAGTACTGAATCTGTCTGACAAACACAGAGGTCACATGACTTATTTAAACCAGAAATAACACACATTTTTTCACAATTTCCGCCTAAACTGTATGCTTTCTTTTATCCCTGTGGCATGAAAGAAAACCAGGGACACAAAACTCAACAACTTCAATACTCAAGGCACTCTGATGACTCAGAAAATGTATAATATACCCATACTATATATTTGTGAGAGCCTTAAATTAGACTTGTGCAGCCAGCACAAGTCTTCAAAATAGAATAGAGCCAATAGAATGGACAAATATAATACCCTATTAGTCCAGGGCCAAATGGCCTATTTATTAATGTACAGTTGTAATAAAAAGTAATTGTTTCAATAGTGTTGTCAACATAACACTTGTAAGTGGTTTAACAAAATGTTTCTATCATGTATTTTGATATTCACCCACTTTCAGTTAGAATGTCAGAAAGTAGCTCATGCACGGAATGTTGATGGATTTTGACAGTTTGACAAGGTTTTGTCAGTTTTGTGAAAAGATTGTTGGTTCAGTTGACTGGTTATAACAACACTACCAACTATGCCATCTTCAATCAACTTCCATTGAGTTCCAGGGGTATTAAATATAAGTACAAAATACTTTTTCTCTTGTGAATTGGTGGGGAATAGTAGCTAATGTAAGCTTGGTGTGTAGATAGTTCAAGATCGAGAACTCTTTACCCCTAAATATATTCAGTATGTCACATATGGACTACTGCATGCCTGATGTCCCAGACAGCAACATAGCAGCATAACTGTGGAATCCATATGTACCAGATGTGGGCCGGATCTGGGCCAACACTATGTTGGTATCTGGTGTAACATCAGAAGGAGTCATTGAGTATGTGTAGAAAGTTCAAGATCAAATAGTCTCTCGCCAGAAATATGTTCAGTAGGTCAAATATGGACTTATGTCTGGATGATATAACGATCTAACTTATTCCTCTGTGGAATAAGAAGCACATATGTGCTTTTGCATTGCATTGCATGCTGAAACTAACTTATTCTACATAACTTATGTATTGAAAGTAAAATCATTGCATTAGCTTTTTGCATTACAAAAAAACCTCATTCGCTGCATTGCATTACACATACGATCTAACGGTGTGCATTGAAGAATAACATTTAAGGCTATGCACTTGGTGCATTGCCTTGCATACCAGAAATAACTAATTCCGTTGTGCATTATAGAGCTTGAAATTGAAGAGCTTGAATTTGCATTGAAATTTAGCTGTTGCATTGCTACTATATGCTACTTTTTGCATTGCACTTCATACAAGAACTATCTTGAAGAGCATTGAAGCATCGACCTAATGCTGCAACTGACTTATTCATTTATGTATTGAAGTGAATCATTGCATTAGCTTTTTGCATTACAAAAAAACTCAAAAAAGGTCAAATTTGTGCTGTTGCATTACATTGCACATACCATCTAACGTTGTGCATTGAAGAATAACATATATGCTACTTTTTGCAGTGCACTTCAACAAGAACTATCTCATTCTGTTGTGTTTTGAAGAGATAACATTTAGTGCTGTTGCATTGCATTGCATAAAAGTTTTATCTTATTCCTCTGTGAAATGAAAAGACAACATATAACATACACGCATTGCAAACTTATTCATTTGTGTATTGAATCGTTGCATTAGCTTTTTTGTATTACAAAAAATACGCTGTTGAATTGTATTGCACTCACGATCTAACGTTTTGCATTGCATATAACTATGCACATGTTGCAATGTAATGCATACAGTAATTAGATCATTTCGTTAAGCATTGAAGAGATAACATCTGTGCTATTGCATTGCATAAAATATCTAACTTGTACACCCGTGCAATGGACAGAAAACACAAAACATATGAGCTTTTGCATTGCATTGCACATACGATCTAAGGTTTGCACTGAAGAATAACATTAGCTATTTAGTTTTTGCATTGCAATAACTATCTCATTCCTTTTTTTAATCGAAGAGATAACACATGTGCTGTGCATTGCATAAAAGTTTTAACTTTTTCCTCTGTGCAATAAGAAACACATATGTGATTTGGCATTGCATTGTATGCTGCAACTTATTCATTCATGTATTCAAGTGAAATCATTGCATTAGCTTCTTCATTACAAAAAAAACCCTCATTCGCTGTTGCATTGCATTGCACACAGGATCTAACAGTGGGCATTGAAGAATAACATATAAGGCTATGCGCTTGTTGCATTGGAATGCATACCAGAAATAACTCATTCCGTTGGGCATTAAAGAGGTAACATTTGTGCTGTTGCATTTGCTTTGCACACACAATCTAACGTATTCCTCTGTGCAATAAGAAACACATAAGTGCTTTTGCATTGCATTGCATGCTGCAACTAACTAATTAATTTGTGTATTGAAGTGAAATCATTGCATTCGATTTTTGCATTACGAAAAAAAACCTCATTCGCTGTTGCCATTGCATTGCACACACGATCTAGCGGTGTGCATTGAAGCATATAATATAACATATAACATAATAAGGTGTAACCTGTAAGTCTATGCGCTTGTTGCAATGCATACAGTAATTAGCTCATTCCGTTCTGCATTGAAAAGATAACGTGTCCTTTTGCATAAAAGATCTAACATTGTGCATTGAAGAATAACATATAATTATGCACATGTTGCATTGCAATGCATACAGTAATTGCTCATTACACTGTGCATTGAAGAGATAACATTTTTGCTTTTGCAATGCATACAATAACTAACACATTCCGATGTGCATTTTAGAGATATAATTTT